TCCCCAAAAAGGAAACATTTTCCAAAAACACTTTCATGTGATTGAAACTTTTCGCTTGGATAAAAGAGGACACATTATGCATCTACCTGTCTTAGCTTTAGATAATTTGGATTGGAATAAATTATGCTTTCAACGTTAAAGTTTAAACAGAAGATTTCTTTTGAACAATAGAGTTATTGTTAACTAGTACGAAAAAGTTTATGCACATTGGTGCAAATGAACTGTTACTTTTGACTCGTACTGAATTTTACACTGTTCTTTATTATTACATAAATGCTTCATTCACCTCGGTTATCATATTACATTATTGTTACTATTGTTTGTTGTTTGGTTGTTTTAATTTTACTGTTTCTTGAATCGAGAGTCTATCATGGAACAATCTTTTTATCTTTATAAGATAGGGGTAAAAACTGCATACACACACTCCACTTATAAAATTACACTGAGTTTGTTGTTATTTTTGTAGTACTAAATTTTACACTATGAGTGTATTTGGTACGAAGGAAAACATTTTCTGAAAAATATTTTTTAATTTTTCTATGTTTGGCTGGCTTAAATGTTTTGAAAAACATTTTCATCATGAACTCATTTTACTCACACTGAAGTAAAATATTTTCCCTATCAAAAGAAGTGAAAATGTTTTTCAAAACTCTTTTTCAACTTTTCCCACCCTATTCCACATCCTCAGCCCCCACCATTGGGGTTTGGGGGTGAGGGGGCTGGGATATAGGAAACATGAGGATTTGGGGGAAGGGGGGAGTAAGGAAAGTAGCATAAAAAGTTATTTTTCTAAAAAATATTTTCTGCTCTTTAAACAAAACACTAGAAAATGTTTTCGGAAATTTTTTTTTTCGCTCACCAATCAAATAAGGAATAATTTGTGATAAAACCATTCACTTTCGGAAAAACATTTTCCTTGGAAAAATTGTTATTCCTACCAAACACACCCTATATGTCACCAAAAAGGCAAAAACAAAAGAGAGTAATAGAGATCTACTCTACCTACTGGCTACTAGTAGGTAGATGACCATTTTTGTCATGAAATGTTTAATCTTGTCCTTTTTCAATGACTTTACGGTACGAGTATTCCGCCATTTTTATGTACCTTTTTTTGGGTCAGTAGCATTTTCACTCGAATTCAATTACACATGTCAAACTCATTTATTCTAAATGTGAAAAACCATCAAACAGGTTCCACCTGGTTTGGGTACCAATGCAAGGACAACCCTAAACAAAGGGAAATTATACATATCAAGTACTAGTCCAAGTGAAGTAATCAATAAATACATGTCACAGTTTCAGAAAGACTTCTTTTTATTCCTTCAATCACGTTCGCCGGAGATGGTTGCCGGCGGGCGGATGTTGTTGTCTCTCATGGGGAGGAGCTCTATTGATCCCACGGCGGAAGATGGTTGTTACTACCAGTGGGAGCTCCTTGCACTAGCACTTTCTATTTTGGTATCTAAGGTTATTCTCCTAAAACCTATCTTATGATCTCTTTGTATTTGGTTACTCATTTCTGTTGAAAAAAGAAGAAGTCAAAATTCAATTTGATCAGATTTTTCGATTTTTCCTAAAGTTAAAGCCAGTGTCGCATATGTACTATTCATATTGTCCAGGATGCGACTACAACTTTTAACTAAGATTTTACGTTCTTTTTTAAATAAATAAATAAAAAAGTCAAGGTAGGGTAGAATAGTACAGTCGGTCCATTAGTTATTGGTATAATAACAATAACAATAAACCCAATGAATATTCGCATATGGGGTTGGGAGGGTAGGGTGTACGCAAATCTTACTCATATTTTGGAAGGGCAGAAATATTATTTCTGGTAGACCCTCGACTATCATAAGTTATTGATAAATTCTGATTTCAGGTCTTATGATATATGTTGAATTAAGCTCTATTAAAATGTGTTTTTGTTCCATCTATGTAAAAGAAGTTGTATTTAGACTTTTTTAGAAATGTATTAACCTCAAATATGGAGTTATTATAAAAACTTAACATAACAAATGGTGTAACTGTTATTACTTAATTAAAATTGTGAAAATTCAAAGACAGGGGTTTAAAAATATCATATTTTAACTAATTGAAGATTAAATGTGCTTACTTAGATATTATAAGGGCTAGAATAATATTTGTCTATATTTGAGGGATTAAAAGAGCAAATTTCCGGAAAATTACTCATAATAAGTCTTATATTCAATACTATGTGGCACACCTACTTAAAATTTTAGATTTGGTATATACTAGGAGTCTATACCAATACTATCACCAATTTGTTGTTGTTAGCTTTGGGACCATATTAATATTTATTCATGTTATTCCCGTCAATATTCCTGTATTTGTAAATATTAATTCTGCAAAATATAAGTTAACGT